TTTGATTCACTACTTCAATCTCTGGCCCTTTTATTAGACCTCTTCTCTGATGGAGTCTGGTGTAGGCAGTCGTAGGAGCTCAATGTTGCAATAAAGCAAAACACTTACCATAGACAGTCCTTTCCAAGATGAACACATATAGGTTTGAACAATCACACTAGGTTGGAGATGTTTGAATTCCAGTTCATTAGAAGCCAATGCGCAGTGAAGCCAATGACAATGTGTTATGGTTTTATGCATATTATTGCCTTATGCACAGACATTTGACTGAAGCTAGTACGCAAAAGAAGTTGGGCGCTCAAAACAGGTCTAGAGGCTTGAACGACTTTATGCATCAAATAGCTCTCAGCTTTGCGTGGTATTAATCCTCAAAAAAAATGTAAATAATTAATTAAGATGGGTAAGCAAAGAGAGCATGAACCATTCAAGAATCCCAGAAAATAAATGGAATCAAACTAAAAAAAATAAATAAATAAATAAGGGTTTCTAATCCCAGAAAATAAATGGAATAAAAAAAATGTAAATAATTAATTAAGATGGGTAAGCAAAGAGAGCATGAACCATTCGAGAATCCCAGAAAATAAATGGAATCAAACCAAAAAATAAATAAATAAGGGTTTCTAATACCCGATTTGGATTTGGGACTGATTTCCAGCTTTCAATTCTCTAGGACGAACAAATCTTATTCTTAGATGCATAGAGGATAAAAAAACCCAAATATACGCAGGGTTTCTTGACCAGAAACTCTGATCTATGAATATGAGCCATGGTTGTATCCTTGGCCGAAGTAAATCACCAATACATGCTTTCATTTGCAGTGATTAAATGACTGTAGTTGGATGTCACCGGTTCGTTCGGAGATGAGAAGAAAGAAAAATTCGAACAGGTACTTCAGTGAAGACAGGAGAAGAAGCAGACCCTGAACTCGAACGATGGAGGCGATTTGCTGTTGAGACACGGTCTCAGTGGAGAAGTATGGAAGCTTTCGAACTAGGTCATGTCCGCTCAGAGATGGGAGAGACGAGAGGAAACCCCCGAACAGGTTCTTTTGAAGGAATCTCTTCGCTCAAGTCGATAAAGAATAAGAACTGATATCTATAGATGGGAGAGGCTGTTGAATAGGGTTTCGGTGGAGACCAGACAAAACCTTTGAACAAAAAAAAAAATTCTCTCTCCTCGCCCTCTATGAAGCTTAAATGATGAGGTTTCGATTCAGTGTTACATGGATATAGTGAAAATAATATGCTAGTCGATGCTGTGCTATGATACCAGTGAAGGGCCGAGTAGATGCAGAGGTGAACGGCTAAGATCTTGGTGTGTCAAACCTTCATACAAAGAGAGAATAAGAGTAGCTGCACCATACAGGACCCGAGACACCTATCTCTCAAACAAAACGCAAGAGAGAACTATCAAATCTGGATGGAGCCGAAATTTGGAGGTTGCTTGACCTTCCAAGTTATCTTTGCTTTTGCACCTCCTGCTATCTTTGTGATAGCCATATATATAGGTCTTTCCCCAACGTTCCCTTCCTTGTTTTGAGGAGGGAGCATAACCGACTTGAACGTTTGGAGGGAAGACCAAGTCAAGGCCTCTCCAGATTGAGACAAATGTCTCATACTGACCAAGGATCTAGCCACATGGTCATCCAGTCTAGACTGGGTCAAATAGATATCCATTGACCCAATAAGAGCTGGAATTTGGATCCAAAATAATCCAGCAATATTGGTATCTCCATGAATAAAAGCATTTTCAAATAAACAATCAAATATATTTATTTTTATAGAAAATAAATAAATAGGTAATAATTTAAAATGAATGATTGTGTTGAGAGTGTTGCATGGAGATAACCATAAAATAATCATCTTCCATCAACATGTGGCTTGTCACATGGCCATTGGATATTCCAACATGTTGAGGATCAAACGAGGGCCTATGCCCACTCTACCAACAGTTCTTTTATTTCAGATGAACAGATTTTGGTTGACTTACAGTTTACACTGTTTACATATAAGACGCTGTTTAAGACTTAAAGATTAAACCAAGTGCATGCAAATACATGTGGAAGGTGTTTATTAACTGTTGCTCAGTCGCTCCTTAGATCAATTCCAAGCCAATTCAAGCTGAATTTATCTTTGATCACCTTTACGTTGAGCTTGGAGAGATGGAATTGCAGAGGTTCCCAGAGAGTGGCTGTCTCTTCATCACAAATCACAACCTCTAGACACTCAAGGTTCATGGCTGAACATGGTAGTTCCCTT